GGATACCATAATGGATGACAGAAAACAGTAGAATATCTTTGATGTACTGAAAGAAATAACTGCCAAGTCAAAATTCTATACCCAGAGAATATATATTTCTAAGATGATAAAGAAATAGAGACATTTTCAAACAAGCAAATAACGAGACAGATTGTCACCCCAAGACCCTTACTATCAGAATTTCTCAGCATATACTTCGAGTAGAAGGAAAAGTGGTGCTTGATGGAAGGTCTGAGATGCAGGAAGAAATAAATAGCAAAAAACATGGCAAATATTGGGAAAACGTAAGCCAAATTTGACTCTTTAAAAAAGTATAAATAATCTCTAGTGGTATTAAAAAAAGAAAAGAAAGAATTAAAATGCCAGCCAGAAATAGCAGACACATTGAGAAATGGGATAAATGGGTTAAAAATATTCTAAGGTAATATTTTGGAATACGGTAACGGATTTGATTAGTCTTTTATAACTGACGTATAGATGTTGTAATCCTAGGCTAACCACTAATAGAAGAGAAATGAAGTGTATTGCTTCCAAACCAGTAGTGGAAAAAATGATGCAATGATTAAAAAATATGAAAGGAAAGGTAAAGATAGGCCATACTTAGTGAAAGAAACAAGAAAGAAAAGAAGACAAACTCTGACTCCATTCATATAAATTATAAAACAGACAAACTGAACTACATATTTTTAGGGACTGTAAATGTAAGTGGGAAAATAATAATGAAAGGTGATAAAATAATGACCAAAATGCAGTTTAGTGGTTAACTTTGGGACAATGGGAGAGGCTGTGATGACAAAGGGACCAATATTCAATTATATGTAGTTGATTAATAACTGTTAAGCTATGTTTTATATATTCATACATTTTTGCTAAAAAAATTCTACATTATTTTACAATCAAATACTAAAAAATTTAAAATGTGCTATAAATCAGAAAATATAAACTATGAATATATGAACACTATCCTTTCCTTCATAATCCAAGAAATTTGGATCTAGAGCCACCAGTGGTTTTCAAATGCTCATCCTCACAGTAGGGTTGTCCAGTATGCGGCCAAGCTTTCTTAACCTGAAGTGAAGTGAGCAATATAGAGAAAATGTATGCAGATGTATAAAGGGGACAGTTTCTTTTCTTGGTAAAGACTATCTTTGGTTCTGAGATTTTATCCTTCTTACAATTGGGAAGTGTCATGCATTGAATTGTGTCCTCCAAAAATATGTGTATCAATTTGGCTAGGCCATGATTCCCAGTATTGTGTGATTGTCCACCATTTTGTCATCTGATGTGATTTTCCTATATGTTGTAAATCTTACCTCTGTGATGTTAATGAGGCAGGATTAGTGGAAGTTATGTTAATGAGGCAAGATTCAATCTACAAGATTAGATTGTGTTTTAAGACAAGCTCTTTTGAGATATAAAAGAGAGAAGCCAGCAGAGAGCCATGAGGACCTCATACCACCAAGAAAGCTTTGCCAGGAGAATAGCGCATCCTAGGGACCTGGGGTCCCTGTGCTGAGAAGCTCCTGGACCAGGGAAGACTGATGACAAAGACCATCCTCTAGAACTGACAGAGAGAGAAAGCCTTCCCCTAGAGCTAGCACCCTGAATTCAGACTTCTAACCTCCTAGATTGTGAGAGAATAAATTTCTCTATGTTAAAACCATCCACTTGTGGAATTTCTGTTACAGTAGCACTAGATAACTAAGACAGGGTGATAGTGACAGTAGATGGTTGGTTACTTTTTAATATCCTTTTTAAAAAAGAAAAACAGGATGTTGGCAATTCTATGAGAGTCCTCCTTTTCCTTCAATAGGTTACTGAGGTCCCAAAGGCTATGAACCTCTAATGCACACAAGTAAAATGATTCTGTGTCTATCTTCAGGGTGTTTGCTTTTGATAAAAATACATCTTGAATATGAACTGAAGGAACAACAGTGAGAAAGAAAGGTAGCCAAACATGGAATAAACGCTGAGTTAAATGTGAAAAAGGTAAGAATATGAGCCAGTGGAGGAAGATGAGGTTTCCAGGAAAATAGACATGGATATTAAGAGGTTACACTTACAGCCCCAAATAGATGGATAGCTTCAGTTTCTGTATTCAGTGCACATTTTATACCACTTATAGATACACATTTCATTTTTTTAGAGGCGTGCATGGTAGTGTTCCTTGAATTAATATTTTTTCTTTTCTACAAATCTCTGAATAAATTTAAGTGCAAAACTAATATAACACTGTATCACCATTATACTATATGATGTAGTATGGAATCTATATTCTACATATTTTAAAGAAGTCTATTACAATGGGGCATAGTAATTATTTTATGACTATTAAGTATTTTTTGTTTTTATTAACTAATTTCATTTCTTGGAGCCCCAGTGGTACGGTGATTAAGAGCTTGGCTGCTAACCAGAAGACTGGCAGTTTGAATCTACCAGCTGCTCCTTGGAAACCCAGTGGAGCAGCTCTACTCTGTCCTATAGGGTCACTATAGGGTTACTATGAGTCGCAATGGGTAATTTCATTTCTTATTAAATCTGTTGGCTGAGATCACTATCCCCATCCTGCAGATGAGGAATCTAGAGCTAAAAGTCAAGCAAATTTGTCATCTAGTAAACGGCAAAACTGGAATTAAGTCTCCTGTGGTCGGACTTCAAAGCCCTCTTCTTAGCTACTTTGTCTAAAGCATTAACATTCAAAGATCATCTGTGTAAAGATTAAAATGCCATTTACTCTTTTAAACCACATTCTGCACTCAGGCAGTTTCTACTGATCCCTTGGAGGAAAGGACGGATATTTTCCCAGAAGCACAATGAACAACACCAGGGCATGTGTGAGTGGGCGCAAGGGAAACTCAGAAACTTGAGCATAAATCTCTTTCAAAACAAAACCACAGCATCTTTAATCAAGGCCTGGCAATCATCATATCATTTCTCCAAGACTGGAATTGGTAAATGTGGGCTATCCCACTAGGCCTTTAATACTTGGTTAGAAATGAATCCAAGAAGTTGACTAGCAAGACAATTCATGCAGTACAAACACGAATCTGTAATTCTCTTCACATTACCACAAAACACAGTTAGTTCCTGCCTGCCTGAATCCACTTTGAAGACAATGAGCGCCTGGGAGAAACCATAAGACCATTGAAAACAAGGCCAGAAGTAATAAATAGGGACTGCCAATAAATGTTCACCAGTTTCTTCCAAAAGTAAAATCTATTGTCAGTTTTCAACAGTTCCTAAGGTTGAACAGGATGCATGCAGTGAGCGAGCGAGCTTACTTGCAAAGTTTACCTACAAGCTAGATGGAACTTTCTCTCACCTGGATGAAATTAAGCAGCTGATAATTACATCTCTTAGTACCAGGAGATTAAAATAATAATAATAAAAAAACCCAAAATGCTTTCATTTGGAATCTAATCTCTCCCATTATACAGCACATTATCATAAACTCTGCTCCAATGGAATTCTCACTCAGCAGGACGAAGATCATCTTCTCAGCAGCAAAACTCAGCAACGCAAGCGACTTTCCTCCATTTCTTGGCTTCTGCCTTAGAACTCATGCAAAGGGAAGACAAAGGGGCCTGCCAGTGATGGGAGTTGTTTTGTGCCTTGGCCTTAGGGGTACTTTCTGTTTCTTAAAAAGATTATCTCAACCTAACTGTAGCCAAAAAATAAAAACAAAATCTTAAAACAAATTTCTGAGGCAGTTTAAATTAAAAATACAAAGGACGGAGATATAGTTTTAATTTATTCATAATTAGTTTACAGATTGGACCACACCAAGACTCCAAAATCAGCAAGCCACTTTGGGATAAGGGCTATTGCAATTATCAGGAGTAAGCCAAATGCTACCTTTTGTTCTTACTAAAAGCTTCTTTGAAAAAAACATCTCCTAGCAAATGATTTTCTACTTCCTATTTAAAGAGGATTACATAGCAAACACAACTAGTGGCTGGAGAGCAAAGAACTTTCTATCGTTTTATTACCTGCCAAATATATATTAGTTCATTGTGCTTAACTCCTGCCAGGAACCCCTTTTCCTGCCACCCATCAAGCTGATGGAGTATGGCAGGTCTATTCCTGCCCCGAGCCCTTGCTAATCAGGAGGCTGTCCGACATGCTCCCTGTCCACTGTCTCCTACATAGTGTGGCAGCTCTGGCACTTGGGCAGCAAGGCTTTGAACTTGAATCACCCCAGTAACTAGCTCTGAATTGCTCCTACTCCCACTGTCAAATCTCTAGGCATATGTAAGGCCCTCCTCCAGGTACAATGAAGAAATCCTACAAATTTCACTTTGAAATAACTACAGGATACAGAAATTGCATTAGCTGCATTAGATGGAGTCATGAGAAATATTCGAAAAGGTTAGATGAATACAGTGACTGTCACAGTTAGACTAAGATAAAAAATCACTTGGTTAACTTAGAGTGTTTCCACATTGGTAACACCCTATATTAAGGTGCCATTTATAAACAGTTTATTATTATTTATTAATGTGTGAAGCACTTTATAGCATGCTGGATAACAACTTAAATTCATGTATTAAAGATGCACATACATGGTTTAATACGATTTACGTCTTATTCTTTAAAACAGCTTCCCATAGCATCATCCTTTAAGCAGTTATTACTAATGCATTTTATAATATACTTTATAATACATTATTTGAGCAAGTTGCTGCATTTAGTGATCATTTCATAAATAAGAATAAAGCATTTATAAATGGCGCCTTAATTTAAAGTGTTACCTTCCCATTACTAGAGAGCTGCTCACCATTCATCTCATTTTGTGATTATTCTCCAAACGCACCACTTAATAAAACAGACACTAAGTTCTATTTTCCCTTCATCTGATTAAAAGTTTATTGAGTCATTTCTTCCATCTGCTTTCAGATGTTGGTAGCTTGGAGGCTTTAGTGTGATTTCTGATGAAACCAAACTTTAATTCAACAATATTTCTGAAAAGATGATAGCAGTAGATGCAAAGAAGTACCTACCATATTAGACAGAGCCTGTTGCTTGGATTCTTTGTAAAATTCAATTTTTCGACTAGAAAGAACAATCCAGGAAGTAGCCCAGTTTTTCCTTAGGAAGAAAGAAAAAAGGATATCAGTTGAAGAAAGCATTCATACATATGGTGTGAGCAACATTTGGAAGGAATAGATACCATCTTCTTTATTTTTAACTAGTCTTCCTAAAAGTCTTCTCTTTATTTAAATTTATAGATGGTATGGAATTAACTACTAAAAATTCAATTTTTGTGTATCCACAACACCAATAAATAGCCTATGTTTCTATAAAAACCAAACCCATTGCTGTTGAGTCGATTCCGACTCATTGCGACCCTACAGGACAGAGCAGAACTGCCCCACAGGGTTTCCAAGGAGCGGCTGGTGGATTTGAACTGCCAGCCTTTTTAGTTAGCAGCTAAACTCTTAACCACTTAGCCACCAGGGCTCCTATGCTTCCATAGCAAGCCAAAAATAGCAGAGTAAAATATCAATCAGAACCTCTTCCTCCATTGTCACTTCTGTTCTTTCGTTTAGCATATTTCAGAGTCCTAAAAACTCACCAGCCAATGTGTCATTGCTTAGTTCAAAATATTTTTATGGTGTTGAATTTCACTAGAAATCAAAGAAATGCAAATAAAAACAATGAAATCCTTTTTGTCTCTTTGTCCATCAAATTTTCTAGGATTAAAAGGAATGATAATAATTAGAGTTAATGAGAGTGTGGAGTATAATTTGGCAGTATGTTTTAGCAAAAAATTTTAATAATGTATATATCCTTTGACCAAGTAAGTCCATTTCTATGAATTTAAATTTATCCTAAACAAATAATCTCAAAAATTGTTACGGTCTCATGCACAAGAATGAAGTATACCATTATTTTTAATCCTGCACCTAAAAAGACAGAAGGTTGGTTCAGTAAACTGAATACAACAAGTTCATAAAATGGAACAATGAAACCCATGCTGCAGAAAAATACTGACAGGAAGATTTTAATGCAGGCTATAATACAAGAGTTCAGCTGCTAACCAAAAGGTTGGCAGTTCAAATCCACCAGCTGCTCCTTGGAAACCCTATTGGGCAGTTTTACTCTGTCCTATAGGGTTGCTATGAGTTGGATTGACTCGACGTCATAGAGTTTTTTGGTTTTGGCCCCCACCCATCCCAGCCCCTTCTGATAATTTCCACCGAACAGGAGGCCAAGTGTTACTTCCTCAAATATGCCTTCCGTGACCTCCTACATAACACTTATCATAAATTTTAAAAAAAATTGTAAGTAGTTCATCTTCATCTCCCTCATTGGAAAATAGACCCCCAAATGATAAATTTCATCTTTACAGATGTATTCCCAATACCTAGTGCAGGGCCTTGGACAGAGTAGGCACTAACCTACATATTTATTGTGTCAATAATTGAATTTAGGCATGGGGGAAAAATGGCTGGATATAACAATAGTTAAATCAGGTGGTGGAATCAGGGCTTTTGGTTTTCCTTTGCATTTCTTGGGGTTTATAGAATTTCATGCACTCAGAATGTATTATTTCTGTGTATACATGTCATGACGAATAACCTATTTTATATGATAAAAACATTAAGGATATCAACATGCATCAGTTTCTACCCATTATATCATACTGCCAACAGATTGCAAAGTAGAGGGTCAGAGAAAAAGAGGGAGACCCTCAGTGAGATGGATTAACACAGTGGCTGTAACAATGGACTCTAAATAGCAACCATTGTGAGGATGGCCAGGACTGGGCAACTTTTCATTCTATTATACGTAAGGTTGCTATGAGTAGGAGGCAACTCTCTAGCACAACAACAACACTTATTTCAAAATAGTTGATTTCAGTTTACAAAAGCGGTAAAAAAAAAAAAAAAAAAAAAGTTTACAGAAAGGCTTTATCCTGGTCAATAGAAAACTACCCAAAAATATGTTAAGAATGTTATTCAATATGTTTTTTAATTTATTTCCACTTGCCTCTTAGAATCTAGGGGCTTGATTGGAAGGACAGTCTTGATTCAATAAGGTTAATATTTACAAAAAGACTTAGGCTGCCTGAAGTTTTCTTAATGATACACTATTGTGTTAAAAAAGAACACAATAAAAAAGAACCACAGCAAAAAAGAACGTGTATTTTTTCCAGTACACAAATATGAACACTTTGTTCTTGGACCCACTTATCTTCAAATGAAGAGTCACTTTTTCAATCAAATGATGAAGGAGATGAAAAAAAACAACAGAAAGAAAATTGCATAGGAGTTTTCCACCCTTTGCTCTGGTGCCCATCTCTCCTGCTTCGGGTACCAGCAGAAACAAGGTCAAATGAAGCAGCTATAGTTGTCTCTTTATGCAAGTGGTAATTTTACCATAAAGAAACAAACTCATTGCTGTTGAGTTGATTCCAACTCACTGCGACCCTATATGACAGAGTAGAACTGCCCCATAGGGTTTTCAAGGAGTGGCTGGTGGATTTGAAGTGCTGACCTTTTGGTTAGCAGCCGAATGCTTAAGGTCATAATATTAGATGGCCCCAACTAGAGAAATGAAGGAAAATTGGAAGGACTGCTGGACTGGACTGGGTCTTTTCTCATCACCCTTTATTTTGCTGGCATGTGGTCAGGGGGTATGGAATAGCCTCACAGTGATGGAACACATATTTAACCTGCCTGTTATATATCCCACCATATTTTTAATCTTCTGGCAGGGAGACACTATACTTTATTTGCTTCCTGTCTATAGTAAGCCTTGGATAAATGGTTCTGATCTGAATCTGTTTCAGATGTTGATCATTTATAGAACTTGTTGGCATTACTCTCCCTTTCCTTAAACTTGGAACTGGAACTGGTTAGAATTGAAGTTGCATGAAATTCAATTACTGTATTTTTTTCACAAATAACATGTCCACACAAATAACGCACCCACACATACAACACACATAATGAGCCTAGGAAAATAATGCATGAGGGGGTTGTGGGGTTGACCAAAAAAATGTATAACGTGTGCGTTATTTGCATAAAAATACAGAATCTCATGGTTCTCTATTAGAACTTTGAACTTCTATGAATTGTTCCCTGTTAGTTGAAATCAGATGAACGAGCTGAAGAGGGTAGGCACTTCAGGTCTTGGCTACCTTACATACAGTGCTATTTGAATTTATCGACTACACAGTCTTAATTTTATTAGAATAAAAGTGAAGATTTTTCCAAGGTTTGAATTCTATTTTTTGAAAAGAATTTTATTTCAAAATGAAGAATAAAATGCTGCTGACAACATTTTAGATGCCTTTCTTCCATTTGAGTATTTTTTCATGATCTCTTTTAAAATAAACTAGCATAAATTATTTTTAGTATCTAGACTAAGTTTGAGAGGTTCCTGGGTGGCACAAAAGCTTTATTTATGCTCAACTGCCAACCTAAAGATTGGTGGTTCAAACCTACCCAGGTGTAGCGCAGAAGTTAGGCCTGGCAATTGGCTTCTGTTAAAATTACAGCCAAGAGAACCCTATGCAGCAGTTCTACTCTGTAACACATAGGGTCGCCATGAGTTGGAATCAACCCAATGGCAACTAACAACAGAGTAAGTTTGAGTACGTAGTTTAAGTTTATCTTTACCAAAAAAAAAAAAAAAAGTTGAAGGTACTAATATCTCCATTTACTAATATGGAACACCAAAAATTTAGGTGACTTGCCAAATGCCGCACACTTGGACTTAGAGTCAAACTCATTTTCGCTGACTTTGAAGCCTGTAATCTCTTCACTACATTACTCTTTAAGGATTAAGCAGTAATACTCAAGGTTAAAGAAATTGTCAATGTGGTATTTTGACAGTTTTGATTTTCCTCTAATTCTCAAATCATACAGGCCAGTGTGCATAGCCTGTGGCACGTATCAGCCCTGGGGGTTGGCTCTCTTATTAACTATTTTACCTGCTTCCAGCAGACGGATCAGACAAAGGCCCACTCCTAAACTAGAAGTTGTACTGATTCAAAGGAGTAAGATGATGTGGCATTCAATTCCTCATAAGAAACTACACACAATATGGCCCCACATTTTCAATATTTCCTTCTAGAAGAAGAAGCAGGTATGTGTGCTCTTAACAATGCTGGCACCTCTGTCTCTTTCCTGCTAGAGATTATTCTAGTCTGTGGTAGGCAAACTCATCTGCATTTAATAAGGAACAAAAAAACCAGAAGCGAGTTGAATACCTCTAGTCTGGAAGTAGCTGAGACTTAGTTTAACAAAACAACTTTTAGCCCGTGACTTAAGTCTGAACATTCCTCTCTAAATGGACTCCTCTAGAAACTTGACCATTTTCCTTAAGAGATCTGTCCAGTCCGCTGCCTATTCCTATGTTTTTTGGTCCATTGTGTTGCTCCTAGTTCTTAGGGCAACAGAAGAACAGCTTTCTCACCCAGTTACCCTAACACAGTGGACCTCTTGTCAGCTTTGGAGAGAGTTTGAAAAGGGAAGGGTCAATTGACAAGGTTTTGCCCTGACTTGAACCTTTAATGATTTCCATATGCAACTAAATCATTATAAGCAACTGCCCTTCAATAAACTGAGTGATACATCAGGAAATGGGTCACTTCTGCAAGCTTAGGGGGTTTAGCCAGGACAGGTGAGCCTGGCAGTTTCTCAGGAACCTTCTTAAATAGACCTTTATAGGTTTGATGCAGTTTTTAGAGTAGAAAGAAATCCGTTCTCTCCTCACTCCCCTAAATTGATGGATATCATTCCTGTCTTCTTAGAGCTTTTCCAGCTTTTCCAGTACTTTGCACAGTGCTCATTAAAGGTTGTTTGACTAAAAGAATATATGGGCTTTCAAATTTCAAGAGAGGTCACCTGATTGTTACAGGTAAAAATCAGGCGAGAGATTGATGTCAGTGACTCAGTACAGGAAACAAGTTTTTAAAAGCATGCTCCTGCTCTGTGCTTGCTCTTATTAATTCACTAACAGGGAAACATCCACCTCCTGCATTTCTTGTCTCTGTTCTTACTTTCCTAGTGATTGAACATGTCATTACTATCCTTTTGTTCTTAACGGTCTAACATGTCTGGTTTAGGATACTTTTTCTAATTAATAATTCTAGTGGCTGATCCTGAACTCCTTCCAGAGGTCTTCCTGACTTTTCAGACATGTGTCAGTAATATGAGCTATCATGCATGCATCGAACCCCATGATGTGTCAGATATTGCACACAGTATTTTTTACGCATCATGTGATTTCATCACTAAGCTGGTCACAAGGATCTCTTGAGTGTCTACCACATGACAGACACAGTTCTAAGGGCTGAGTATATAAACGCAAATAAGAAACCTCAAGGAATTGACCTCTAACCAGTGGAATACAGACAACAAACGTGTCAACAAAAAGCCCTCCAAGCTACTCTGATTGGTGGGTGATACTCCCTTATTATAGAAGAGAACACTGAAGCCTAGTGAGGTTGTATCCTACACAAGAGCATACAAGTTATAGAAAAGGAATTCAGGCCAAGTCTCCTGGACCCTGAAGTCCTTGTTCATTCCACTGTTTCAATTGTCTCTAGAGCAGGTGACATCCAGCTCTGTCTTATTAATAAATTTGTAATTACATATTAAACATGTCTGTGCAGAGACTCAAGAAAGGCTGAAGAGAGGGAAATAGAAACTTTGTTGTCTAAACACCTCACAGAACTTTGCTAAAACAAACCCTAAATTGTGAAGGTGGAAAATGCAAAAAAGACGCAACATGGGCATCAGCTTGGGCAAAAACTGTTTGCATTCTCCAAAATGGACACCTGATGGCAGCACATAATAACAGCAACTTTGTAGCTGCTTATCTGGAGAACGCTTGATGGAAAACGGCCCTTAAAATATTTATTACCATTATAAGAGTCTATTAGCTTGAGCTCTAGGTTTAACACATTCATTTGCTCTAACATCAAAACTTTATAGCCTATACCCACCCTTGCTATACTCTCCTATACCTCCTTTGGGTAATGATCTGAAGGCAAACTAAAGAGTCACAGGGAAACACATATGAGATTCCTTTGCAAATTTCAGACCTCTTTGGGCCGCCTGTCTTTGTTACCTGGCTTGTCACCCTGGATTGTACTCGATTCCACACCAGTGGTGGGTTTGAAACTGATTACTCTGGTGTCCCTGACCAATTGATTGCCAAATCACTCAGACACTGTTAAAAGTTCTGACTGCTTGTCAAGCTGGGAGGCCTAGGAACTTATTTCTTCTGTCTTATATTCTAAGCTTCCTGTAATTTGCCACTGTTAAGAGGTGGGTCAATGAGACACTGAGGTATGCACACACCCATCTGTTTCGGTGATGCATAACGTAAAAGCTTTCTAAAGACAAAGCCTTGGCAGATGATGGGAATTTTAACAGAGTATATGATGAAAATCATAAAACTAAAGTAACCTTTTACAAATTAACTTCTGTATTTGGTACTCTCCAAACCGTCCTTCCAGTCCCCAGGAGTACATCACAAAAAGAGAGAAAGACAGATTAGGCCTGGAGGACTTGATTTTGATCCTAAGCACAAAGCGCTAAAGAAAAAATAAATTCATGTTAGGACGGTTTCTTGGTATCATATCCTAAAAAAGGTGCGTTCTAAGTTAAGAACTGTTAAAAATACCCTCAAATATCCACACCCATCCCATATATATATATATATGTACATACCTAGATATATACATATATATCGTCATTAACTGCTATTGAATCAGCCCCCCGACTCATGGCAACCCTATGCGTAATGAACAAAATGTTGCCCAGTCCTGTGCTATCCCCGTGATCTGTTGGAGATTGGACTGTTGTGATCCATAGGGTTTTTATTGGTTAATTCTTAGAAGTAGATTGCTAGGACTTTCTTCCTAGTCTGTCTGAGTCTGGAAGCTCTGCTGAAGCTTGTCTGGCAGGGATGACTCTGCTGGTATTCGAAATACCTGTGGCATAACTTCCAGCATTATAGGAACAGACAAGCCACCAGAGTATGACAAACTGACAGACGGTGGTTGTTAATACTACTTATTATTAACTCAGTAAAATTTTTAAAAAGTTATAAAGACCTTTGACAAATGGTTAAAAAAAGGCTATCAAGAAAACTTTACATAAAAGTTCACAAATTATAGGAACTATAGTCTATTATTTAATAGTTATACAAGTATCTTTGGGACAAACTATCATTGGCATATTTCAAGATTATGGCTAAACTGATCATTTTTGTTGCTAATGAAAAAAACATACAGACTCTTGGGTAAGCAATCTAGCAATAACAATAAGATTCATTAAAAAGGGCATAGAATGTGATCAAGTAATCCTAGACTTAGCATTTATCGTAAGAAAATAGAAAAGAAATTGATAAGCAATGGCAAGTCTAAAACGGAAATCGACTTCAAAAGCAAATAAAAAAAGGAGGGTAGGAGTTGTTTGGTCCTCTTATATTATTAAACATGGTGGTCATACATTCTATGTTCAATTAGTAAATTGTTTATAATAAAAACAAAAATATCCACACAGTATAAAGAGTAAAATTATGGAACAGTATGGGTCATGTTTAAAGATTTTGGTTCTCATGGACTACCATTGGCAAAGTAAATAAATGATGAGAGACTTGGAGAAGATATTTTCAGTGTCCAAAATTAACAAGATACTATTATTTAGAATATATTAAGGGTTCCCACAAATCAACAACAACAACAAAAAGCAAGAAACCCAATAGAAAACAGTTAAAGGTTCAGATGGAGAACCTGAACAACTCTAAACGTATAAAGTGATGTTCGACTGCAATACTAATCAGAGAAATACAAATAAAAGCAACACTAAGAACATTCCAGAGTCATCAATTTGGCAAAACTGAGAAGCTGGACAAGACATTGCTGCACCCTTCACACTCCTTCCTTGAGCTGATAAGATCTGGAGTGAGGCCCGGGGTTAAGGGTAAAGGAGGACACTTAGGTTGGTCTAATCAAAGCTAGGAGTCACTGAGTGTTATAAATGGTTAACATACTCGGCTGCTAATGGAAAGGTTGGGGGTTTGAGTCCACCCAGAAGTGCTTCAGAAGAAAGGCCTGGATATCTACTTCCAAAAAATCAGCCACTGAAAATCCTACGAAGCACAGTTCTGCGCTTACACACATGGGGTCGCCATGAGTCGGAACCAACTCTACAGCAACTGGTAAAGTCCAACCCAAAGAACTCCTCCTGACACCCAGGCCAAGTTCAGCTTTTGGTGGGGAGTTGCCCGGGCTCGTAAAGCAGCTTTGAATTTGATTTTTGTCTCTTGTGAATCTCTCTTGGACATTTCGTGGCCACTGCTGGGGAACAGTCTAGACCAGAATTCAGAAGCCCTACATGCTATCCCCAAATAAGCTAAATACGGTCAGAAAATAGAGCTTGTCATTTGAAATTAAAATAGCTATTTGAGTAGTGAAATTGTCGATGTTTTGTTTCCTCAATTTTATTTCTTTTAAATAAATATATACATATCCCATTATAGCTAGCAAACAAAAGCGTACTTTATTGTCTAGTGTTGGCCAGGGTGTCATTCTAGTAATGAATTATATTACACAATTAACAGGTGTCCCATTGTGCAGTTAATTAGTACATTTATCCTATGTGGCTTTTACTGTTAGTAATATATTCATGAATAAATGCTTTGTCTCCCAATTTGAACATTTTCTACGTACCTTTGTAGCTTGCATATCACCTAGCACAAAGCTAAGTACATAATAGGCCCAAAATACAAAAACTAAATTAGCAAAAATTGCGATGATTCTTTAATTTATTTCTAAATATGCCATATATACAACATGCCCAGCCCCTTTCTCTTTCCTCCCATCAATCTCATTTTATTTTTATTTTAAGGTTTTTGTTGCTGTTGTTTACAACTTAGTAACAACTCCCCAGACAGGGGAATTTCCCTTGTCTGATTTATTTTGCCTACCCTGTGTTCACTTGGGATGGTAGTGGTTGAATGGTAGAATTCTTATCTTGCATGCTGGTGACTCACATTTGATTTCCCAGCTAATGCACCTCAAGCACAGCCATCACAGTGGAAGCTTGCATATCGTTATGATGTTGAACAGGTTTCATTGGAGCTTCCAACTAAGGCAGACTAGGAAGCAAGGCCTGGCAATCTACTTCCAAAAATGAGCAGTGAAAACCCTATGGATCACAATGGTCCAATCCCCTTGAGCATGGGGTTTCCATAAATCAGGAGCCGATTTGACAGCAGCTAACCTCTACAACCACCCTGTATTCATTTCTCCTCAAAATGCAGTAACTTCCAATTTCTTACCCGACAAATAATTCTATTTTTCACAAACATAGCCCAAATCTACCCTTTAAAAATTATGCTCTCAATGAAACACAGGAATATTTTAATATATTGAAAATTAGTCCATTTAATCCCGTAATCTGTTAATCCCATAAATCAAGATCCATTATCTCATTAATTTGTTATTATTTTTAGATTTCAAATCTCCATCGGGGAAAAAAAAAACCCACTTCATTTATATGTTCTGTGCAGTATAGAATGTAGAACTTTCTTTGAAAACTATAATTCTGATTAAAAAAAATGTTGATCATAGAGATAACAAGGGGGAATATTATAGTCCTGTACCTTAGGGTGGAGCTCTGGTGGCACAGTGGTTAAGAGCTATGGCTGCTAACCAAAAGTTGGCAGTTTGAATCCACCATATTCCTTGGAAACCATGTGGGGCAGTTCTACTCTGTCCTGTAGTGTCACTATGAGTGGGTATCTCCTTGGTGGCAAATGGGCTTTTGGTTTGGTACCTTAGGATCTTGCTACTCGAACAAGGGCAGTGACACAAACTGAGGATGTGAGCAACTAGCATAGTTACATAAAACTGAATTAAAGAATTTTTATTACCTTAGTTTCTTTCCTCCATCGGCAATTTTAGCTTTTTGAAGATAGCCTTCTTTTTCAACCATCTGCAAGAAGAATGCATATGTTAATACTGTGACAAACTCCCATGCATTAATAGTCTGGATGAACCTATGCATTCCAAGAGTCATTGCAGTGATGGAAGTTTCCAGTCATAGAACTTCATTCATAATGCATAGATAGCTTATGGGAAGTGCCTGCAAGATCATAGTCATTACAAGCAGTTAAATTTCCAAAAGACAGATTATGAAGAGGAAAGTGAATGATTTGTTAGATAGTGATACACCTTTACTCATTTTTTTATAATTTATTTTTTGGTTGTAGTTATTATCAAGAAAACACACAGCGAAACATACATCAAAAGTTTCTACATGTACAATTCAGTAATATTGATTACATTCTTTGAGTTGTGCAACCATTCTCACCCTCTTTCAGAGTTGTTCCTTCCCATTAACATAAACTCACTGCCCCCTGAGGTTCCTATCTAATCTTTCGAGTTGCTGTTGTCAATTTTATTTCATACAGATAGATCTTAAAAGAGCATAATGCTCAAGGCAGACATTCTTTACTAGTTAAGCTAAACTATTGTTTAGTTTTAAGAAGACTTCAGGGGATATTTTTGGTTTAAAGTTTAAAGATTATCTCAGGTCAATAGTTTTGGGGGTTCATCTAGTCTCCATGGCTCCAGAAAATCTGAATGCTATGATAATTTGAAATTCTGTTCTTCAGTTTCCCCCTTTTGAGTTCAGTAATGGTAGATGAGCACCATTTAGTTCTTCTGGTCTCATGGCAAAGAAGGCAGTTGTTCATGGAGGCAGCTAGCCACACACTCATTTCCTCCTGCTATTCCTCACTCTCCTTCTTCCTCTGTTGCTCCAGGCAAATAGATACTGATTGTTGTGCCTTGGATGGCCGCTTAAAAGCTTTTAAGACCCCAGGAACCACGCAATGAGCTAGGAGGTGGAACAGAAGCACTAAACACATTATTAAGCCAATTAACTGAGATGTCCCATGAAACCACAACGCTAAACTTCCAAACCAAAGAACCAAATCCCATAAGGTGTTTAGTTGTACATAAGCCATCTCAGCAGCATTGACACTGAGGTTACTTGCTTACAAAAATGATTTTATAAAGATGAATTTAATCCCTTCCTTAATTTTACCTATCATCCTTGAGATGTTTTTCCTTTTCATCCCACATCCCTACTTCCCTGTGTACCACTGGAGACAGAGCAGAAAGAATTCAATGGAACCAGGTAACTGAGCCAATTGAACCGTGAAGGGCATTTGAAACAGCAATGTTTCATGCACTTCATTCAGTTATCAAGATACACTGCAGTAGCATTATCTCATTATCTTATTCCTTGATGGGGATTTGATTCCTGTCCTGTTTGTATTTATTAGTTTTTATTTTTAATGCAACTGTAAGTTTCTTAAATGAGATTCAGCAGCAAACGTTTTTGTGGGATTCAAAATATAATAAATAGACAACATGAATTGTGATGTATTGGCTTCCAGAAAGTCTATAATTGGTGATTTAATTTCTTAGTGTTCTATTTTTACCACCCTATCTGCCCCACTGTGGCCCTGGTGGCACAGTGGTTGCTAACCAAAAGGTCGGCAGTTCGAATTCTCCAGTTGCTCCTTGGAAACCCTATGGGGCAGTTCTACTCTGTCCTATAGGGTCACTATGAATCAGAATCAACTTGACGGCAACGGGTTTGATTCATCTGCCCCATACCGCCATCCCAAGTCCTTAACCTGTGTCCCATCTTTTCACTCTTACTGAGTTGCCAGCACTGCCCCCATGTATCTGTTAAAAGCTTTAAGAAGTCATCTGGCTAATAAGAGAGGACCACAATCCCCCCGTGTCACTCCACATGCTTTCCTCCTGATTGTCATACTCTCCCTCTGCCATGCCATCTCTTCATCCCACAAACTTCTAAATCTACTTTAAATCTCAATTTGTACATCTTTTATCGGAGAGTCCTTCCATGATTCCTCTGCAATCACCTTGAAGTGCCCGTGTCTTGAATCTCCCTTTGCCTTCTGTCATTACTGCTATTAAAGCACTTATCAGATTGTATTGTAATTGTCTGCTTATTTGATTGCTCCTGTACCTGCACTGCTGTGAGCTCCTTAAAGGCAAAGGACTATGCCTTTCACACCTGGAGTCCCAGCATCTAGAGTACTTGCTGGCACCAATAGTCACAATAAGAAATATTGTTTGAGCAAATGAGTGGATGAATGAATGGATGTTTAAATCTTTATAGGAAATTGGATCAAGCCAAAAAAAAAAAAAAAATCATCTGTAATGTTACAGGCGAAAGGAAGAGATATTTGGGAGTAAATGAGTTGTGCCAACCCAGTATAATTTCACAGGTCAAACAATTGCCTATTTAAAAGGCTGACTTTAATATAAGTGAGATCTTCTTGGCTTGTTAATTGTATATTCCTCATACATGGTACAGTACTAAGTTTTCAAACTATACTTGATGAATATATTTTTGATTGAATAATGAGGATAATAATGAAAATGACTTATGGAAATAATAGCAAAGTATTTTTCACATGTCTACATTTCCAGAAAAAACATATTTTCCTTCAGCATATTCTCCACAAGTCTGAAAGAGTGTAAGGAAGCATTCTTGGATAATTTTTAGAAGCAAGGTGTTCAGTTGTGACTTTTTGCATTTGGATACATCCAATTTGTTTTCTTTTTCCACCCTTTATTCTACATATAGTGTCCCTTTTTCATGGTGCCAGGGAATCTTATTTGTCTACCCCCAAAATCTCATATAATAAGTGTAGTATTTAACTTTGAGCATCACTGGTTTCTACAAATATTTGGAAGAAAGATATTTTCAGTAGCAATTAGCATTGCAGAGGAGGTCCCTTTCTTTAGGTATGTACATTGAGAAACTGTGTTTTGGAACTACAAATGAAATTTCTTGCTTTATTTAAATTTTCTCCTAATCAAAAAAAAAAGGTAACAAAAATCTGAATTGATCTACCGAAAAGGTACAAAACCTCTCAACCCATCACAAAAATGGATGTGTGAATTCTCAGCTAAGCATACTGGTTTTTTTTTTTTTCCAAAAATAGTTGCTGAAAGATTAGTGTGTGGACATCTGGTACCCACAATGATGTATTACTGATGGCGATTTCTCTAAAAGGAGAAAGGAAAAAAGCAAAGACTCTTACAGGGAGAAATCACCACAAGCAGGCTTGAGATGTAGCCCACAATATTCTTTCTCCTTGAGTCTATAAGTAGTATTCCCCTGGAAACTACTGGAGCTTTCCCAAGATAGCTGAGATTCAGGTCAGTGGATGGATTTCTCATGTTAGAACACTATAAACCGCGAGGTGCTACCATCAAACAGGCTAAGCCTGTTCCCACAGTTCTGAGTTAATGCAGTAGAGGTACCAGTTGTGACTAAACAGTTGTCCCAGGAGTAGAAGGGAAGAAGAGCCAAGGAACACTTTAGTCCTTCTCTCTCATCTCACCTTCCAGAGCTCAAGCTGCCTTTCAGGTCATTAGAAGAAGCTCTTGAACTCCTCTGCTATGTACTATTACTTACTGCTGTCCTGCATTTATTTACATATGTACATATGCTCTTTTTGTTGTTGTTGTTACTGCCACGCAGTTGATTTTGACTCATGGTGATCCCATGTACGCAGAGCAGAACTGCTCCATAAGGTTTTCAAGGCCGTGATCTTTTGGATCTTCTGAGGCGTCTCTGGAAGGTTCCAAATGCCAACCTTCCAGCTACTAGTTGTGCGCTGAACACTTTGCACCACCCAGGGACTTCATATGCATTTCTACATGTAGTTATATACGGGTACTAGTCTCATACGTATTTCCACTTCTGGGAACAGGAATTCATTTCTTTCCATTGTCTCTTGTACATGATGTCCATTCATTCATTCTTTCAATAAATTTTCAACAAGTAAGTCCCCACAGTCCCCAAAATGCAAGCTACTTTGCTTGCATGGAACTGCAAAGATTAATAGGACAGCCATGATCTTTACTGAGGCTTGCACTCTTGCAAGCTCACAATCAAGATACTCCTGTTCCTCTTTTTAAGTGACTGGATACCACATCCCCTCTAGCCATCTCAGGGACTCAGGCCGGTTCTTGCCCTGGTTAGAAAGCTCCAACAAGGCTGCGTACATTGAAATCATCGCATCCTTTTACATCCCATGCTAGCAAGCAAAGCTTCCACGAGGTACGATTAATTACCTTATTATTCCTTGTCATCATACTTTGAAAACCTTACCATGTTCAAGGTACTAGAAACCAGTTATTCTGGGAAACTCATAGTGAGCTGAAAGAAGTATTAGAGCAAACAGAAGATTGCTATGTATTTTTTATGTGAGTTTATATATGGTACTTTATTAATTATGCTAATTAATTAATTCTACTTTATGCTAATCTCATGGTCTGAAGGAACAATAATCTATAAAGTATAGTTGAGTAGGTTGGTCATCCAGGGCTCGGATGATTTTTTTCTCTAATAATTTACAAAATTTCAATATAGTTTTATATCTAAATTTAGGATTCTACATACCAAGATCCAGGGCAGACTGAAGTTCTTTAAAGCAGTAGTAGTCCCTAAACTACGCATACTTAAGAACATCAATTTTTAGATGTTAAGTCTGGGTTCTTGAGCTATTTGTCCAATGTCCCCTAGAAACCCTATTTAACCTTAAGCGGCAGGAAAGATAGTAATTTGTCTAGATTGGCTGCCAGCCAGTCTGCCAGCATTGAGGAAGTGTCCATCAGACACAACCTTGCTGAGATACAGAGGAGAAGAACAAATGGCAGTAGGATACCCAGACAGCAATGCTTATCAGCCTAAGTTCGAGGCTATGGCCAACTCAGGAGAAGAGAACATTTAAGCCCCAGAGTTAGGCATGGTTTGCTCATTATAACCTATTTGTACCCTTATATATATATATATATATATGTATGTGTATGTATATGTACATGTATGTATACCCATAACTCATTGCTGTCCAGTCGATTTCTGACTCACAGTGACCC